GCTCATTAGATCATTTCTGTCTAAACTAATACTCACTTATTATTTAAACATTTGGTGAGACATACAATTTATAATCATTCACGAGTAAGAAATAACCACGGCTGGATTTGTATTTTCTTTTTCCATTATCCATTTAATCCATGTGTGTAAAATGTTAATATTATTGTCAAGATTTCCACGTATATCATACCTAAAAATCTACAAGAAAACAAGACGATACTCAAGTATTGTGTTTGAGTTATTTATGAGTAATTGGGATATTTTGTTCTAATATATGTATGTCTTGGTTTGGATTGGATTGATCCAAGCATGTTTCTTAAATTTTACAATTGTTTCAAAACATATTCGGATGTTTTTGAATATAAATATGAAAACAGATTAGGAACATGCTTTACAAATGTCTCAAACATTTAACATAGCAATCCATGAGCATGTTTGGCAAAGTAATTCATAATTTAGCGCATGTTTGGAGGCAATTTTCGTCCACATTTTAATGAAATGTTGGACTGTTAGCTGCCGTAATTGTTAACTTCCTTCACACTACAAGCTAGACATAGGATTCACTAACGATATAAAAATGGATTTTAATTTTACAAATAGTGAAGCCAGACAATTAAATTGGTTAAAGACAGGTTTTTCTACATATTCAGATATTCTATGAAGCTACAACTTATTATTCACATATTTTATGAACTCATTTATTAAATTTTAATTTATTATAGCCCCAAACAAGCACACATTAGAAGACAATGAATTGGAGAGCATTAATGGCAATACTCGTAAAAACATCCAAATTTTAATTCATATCCGAAATGGCTTCGACACATTGTGTCCCAGATTGAGTTCGACCAATTGTGCCCAAACGATTGGTGCCTTGAAGGAACACGCAACTGATTAACTCTTGCGAAAATCCCACAACAATTAACAGATTTCATCTCTAAACAAAAGAATCAAATTTTAAAGACTCCAGAGGCAACAAAATCAAGAACTACCAAACTATTTCTAGACAATAGCATTAGCAGCACTTGCAATCCTAGGCCAAAGATCAGCACACTCTTTTCCAATTGGGCCGGTGATTGCAGAACCTACAAAGACCATACCAAAAATAAGAGAATTTAAATAAAATTCAACTATTTTATAGCTAAAATCAAGTAGATCGTCGATGAGCAGAAACGAAGACAGAATTTCACCCAATAGTTGTAAAATGAAAGACCATTACCTTTCATTTCACCCTTGGGATTCACAATGACACCCGCATTATCTGTGCAGATGCAGACCACAGATATTAGAAACAAGTTCATGATTTTTTAAGTATCCCAAATCCCACGACCAAAATTAAAACCTTTCGCAGAAAACACGATGAATGTATTGCAAAGAATCCACAAACAAAAACCATGTTAGTGATAGCAAAGGAGAGGCATATAAAGCTGACACAACACAGTGCTACCTAAATGTAAGGGGGAATAGTGCTCATTAGAAACTGGCAATATTTTCTCAATCTAGGACGATCTAAACATGTTTTCCAATTAAAGCAAGCAATTGAAACAAAACCTTAGGGCATGACACAGTGCTTATGCTTTTGCTTCTCGTAGAAGAGAATGTAAGAGAATGTGAGGAAGTTAGCTTATGCCAGCTTCAACTAGAAGCTCTTTTAGCCGGACAAAATGCTTTCAGAAAATTATCCAAATCTTAGAACCCGTTTGGTAAAGATTAAAATCTAATTAAAATTGAAATTATAGCTTGTCTCGTCTAATAAAAGTCAATAATAACGGCAAGTTTTTCAATTTTAATCCGATTTTAATCTCTACCGAACAAGCCCTTAATCTCAAAAGCAGCTTTTGCAATCTCACAAGCCTTGCCTAACGGGCCAAAATACTTGTCACCATGATGCAGAATTGGGAGTGCAAGAAAAAAATACACGCGATGCTTAAATATACAAAAGAACCCTACAAAAATATAATCTATTATAGCTTTTTACAAAGAAGAAGCAACCTTATGCCAAAAGAATTGGTGAAAAGTGTCAATCACATAACATAGAACTGACATGAAATGCAACAGCAAATGAATCAGAATACGTTTTTCATTAAATCGTCAAGAAAATCATGAGTGAAAAAAAAAAAACCAATTGCACAGGACAGCACGTGCACAATTTTATGAGCCCGTTCATTTGTATATAAATGTAAGTATTAAAGTTATTGAGGGGAACAGGTGTGTTGAGGGAGGGAGAAGTGTGAATATGTATAGATACCTTCGAAGTACATGAAAACACCGTCCTTTCGGCGCCATGGTTTGCGTTGGCGCACAATGACAGCGGGCATGACCTTCTTACGGAGATCTGGCTTTCCTTTCTTCACTGTGGCCATCACCATATCGCCAACGCAGGCAGAAGGCAGTCTGTTGAGCCTCCCCTTGATCCCCTTCACCGAAATGATATACAGGTTCTTCGCACCGGTGTTATCGGCGCAGTTCACCGTCGCCGCCACCGGCAGACCCAGCGACATTCTGAACTTGTTACCCGCTGATCCTCCACGTCCTGCACAAATATCAATTGCAACGAACCAATAGATTAAAAAAAGGGAACGAAAGAGTTAAGAGGAAATTGGATCGTGAATCAGATACCGTACCTCGCTTCGACATTTTGCCTCTCCTCTCTCTGTCTCTCCTTCTGGTGGCGCTAGGTTTTATATGAGAGTTTAGGTGGGCTAGGGTTTTGTCGACTTAAGGGGCTGTTTGGATGTCACAAAAAAAAGTAGTTTTGTATTCCCCATTTGTAATGCCAAATTTCCGTCAAGTAAATAATTTTTCAAACAAAGAGTTTTGTTTAACTACTTAAAGTTGAAAGTAAAAATTATTATTTCAAAATTTCTTTGAGGGCTCAATACTAACTCTGGTTTGATAGGAATTAAAATTTAGATTTCGTATTTAAATAAAAAATAATAATTAATTTTAATTATATATTTCGTATGATTCATAATTTTTCAACCACACATTTATCATATTTTATCAAAATTTATTAAAAATCTGATTTTAATCTCGACCAAACAGGAACTAAATAATACGGTACCATGATGTAACCTAAGATTTATCCTTCTATAAGCCAAAGTAGCTAAAGTATAGCAATTGGAAAGTCATTTGAAATTTGACCTCTAATGACATATTAGGTACATAACCATGTCTAAAAAATATTCTTTTAAATTTTTTTTTCTCAAACTCATTTTTAATCACGTATTCTTTCAATAAAATAATTTTACACGTGAACTCATAATTTTTTCTACTCATTGACCTTACATTCTCCAAAAAAAAATTCATTTTTCATTAAATAATTCTCGAAAGACATACATTAAATCAAGCTCGTAATATTAAACACGCGATTAATAAAATTTCACCTTATTTATCTTCTTGCATGGTTGTAATTTGTCACCATATTACTAAATAGTGGAAGTTATTATAATTACTTCATTTGCTTTTCAAGGGGTTGCTAGATAGTGTAAAGATTTCAATCGACGCCAGAATTCAACTATAAAGGGAAAATTTTGAGTTTTTTTTAATCAATGGCCAATACATTTCATTTTTGGGTTATGCTACATGTACCGAATTTTTATACAAAATCTTTTACACCCTACTCACATAGGAGGTGGGGACCACAAGCCGGAATTTTCAAATACACATGGGGCCCGCGCGCATTGTGAGAGGGGGGACACCATTCGGTACATTTAGAATAATTCTTCATTGTTTTTTTATTTTTCAAAAAGTATGATTTATGTTCTATATTAGCATATAGACTTGCCATAGTTCTAACTATTGAGTGTTGCATTCCATAACAAACCATGATGGCAATAACAAGTGATGTCTGCTAATACTATGTGAATCCGGATTGAGGCAAAACAACAAAGGATCTTACACTTAATAAATTAAAAGTTAGCTACATAATTCTTTTTTGCCGCCCCATTCAAATGGGGACGTAAAATCTTCAACGAAAAGGCAAATTAATACAGAACCAAGTTGAATCCACAAGTAAATCACTCCATTAACAGTGTACATACAACTAGCTAAAGTAGACAACACCTGCCTTAGTTGACTCTGCTAAGCAGAAATGAGCAGACATCACATGAGGAAAGGTCCAAAACTAATGCCGATGAGATCACATGTGCCCTAATGGCACTGAACCAGCATTAACGAAGAAAAAGAGGTCGGGTTTTTCACTATACTTTCTAGTACTGAGTACCAAGCATGCACTAAGGAGACATCTAATCATGCCTATAAGTTAAGTACTTAAAACTTGGATGCTTTACGCTGCTGCAGAACCTACTGCAACATTGACGGCGAAATGCCTTAACTGGGTGATTATGGTCGTCAAAATCAATACCATAATCCTGCGAGGATAATATCGAAATTTCTTTATGAAAAACATAATAAAATTTATGTGATGCATGGCTATCAATTTTTATTTACTTAGAGAAGGCACATGATTGAACATAGACATGGATAAAAGAAAGTAAACATTGCAATTAACTGCATATATATTACGCATAGTAACAATCATAGACACAGAAATGGTGAACTAAAAGGCATTAGTGAGAACATTTACTTAGAAATCAAAATCTTATATGATGCTAGATTTCTATACATATAAAAATCCTTTTAAGTTAGAGATTAGTCTATACTTGGCAATTTTCCTTGTGTATTTCTTCCCCTCGGCCAATTGTTCATATGTAAACAAGCAGCTCTAGATACTATTGGACTCTCCATCTCTCCATTTCGACTTTTGGAACAATAATTTTCATTTCGACTTAATACATTTCAATCAATAACATTAGTTAATTAGGTGAAGTTACGGAAGAGAGGGATTCAAACCCTCAGTAAACAAAATCCTACATAGAAATTCTAGCACCCAATTTTTCTTATGGAATAGTGTGTTGTTTTTAAAAATTGTCCTATCATGTACCGACACGTAACTCAATGTCAAAAATANACAAGGGTTCGGACAATTTTTCCCCTTTCGCCGAAGTAAATTGACCTAAGGTTAAGATAAGGGGGTTTTATCTAGATTTTTATCCCATTCATGTATCATAGATCGGCAGGGATATTTTAATTCCTTGTCCACTCTTTCCAGTATTTTCCGAAAAACAGCAATTAGGAATAGAGAATCTATATCAAAGAAAGGTCTAACTGTTGGAATAATGATTTCCATTTCGATTTTATTCATTTCGGTCATTAACATTAGTTAATTAGGTGAAGTTACGGAAGAGATGGATTCAAACCCTCAGTAAACAAAATCCTACATAGAAATTCTAGCACCCAATTTTTCTTAATCGGAGGTTTGATCTACGATTTATCATTCATAGAGTTGATAATATTCATCCATTTAGCAGCACCTTAGGATGACATAGCCTTAGAAGGGAGAGGTTCAAACATATTTATAACGTTTTCAAGACACCAAAAATCCTTTTTCAACGACGTAGAGCTTCCTCAACATGATGCCAAATTCAGTAAAATGTGGTATAGATTCAATGATATTATAAGTGCAATCATAGAAAAGCTTATTATTAAAGCATCAATGATACCATGGGACTCCAAAATCAGGCATGTAGCACATGGGGTTGGGTCTAGGTCCGAACATAGCCAGGAACTCCTTCCTGTAACTTGTGACTTATTCCCCTTTGTACTACTCGATTGCCACAATGTATATTACACACACATTTCACCTAACATTCTTTGATGAACTTCCTTATGCCTATGTTTTCCTTATTTTTGAAAACTCATTTTCAATCATACATTTCAATGAATCCACAACTTTTATCAATTTTTAAATAATACAGTTTATGAACTTTTATGAAAATTTACTAAAATTCAAAATTTTAACTAAACCAAGAAGATAAATTTTACTACATTAATTCATATCAAAACTTTTTAATACAATCTACCTAACTTGGGGTGCTATACTGTTTTTTCAATGAATTATGCTAAGTATACATTTCATGGTTGATATCTTGGTGTACATTGTGTTCAAATTCAAAAAGTGTCGGACGGAAAAATGTGTTGTTTTTAAAAATTGTCCTATCATGTGTCGACACGTAACTCAATGTCAAAAATAATATAAAACAAGATGCACATGTAGATAATTGTTTTTCAATCCCCCACCCCCCC